CGAGCGATGGATGAGGACAACATGACGAGGAGCGAGGAGCAGGAGCTGAGTCTGCAGAAGGCGCTGCAGCAGTGCGAGCTGGTCCAGAACATGATCGACATCAGCATCTCCAACCTGGAGGGGCTCCGCACCAAGTGCGCCGCCTCCAACGACCTCACGCAGAAGGAGATCCGCACCCTGGAGGTACGGGCCCGCCGACCCCCCCAACATCAACACCCCCCCATCAGTCTCCCCCCCAACCCCCCCGGGCCGCGGCGGGTTCCCCCGCGGCGCTGCGGTGCGCCCGAGTGAGGCTGCGCGCTCTGCAGGTGGCCCCGAGGTGGGTCCGGGACCACCGAACCCTCCTGCCGGGACCCACCGGGGGGGGGGCCCGGCCCCGGCCGCAGCCCCCCGGTATCCTCCCGGTATCCCACGGCATCCCCCGGCCTGGCCGCGTCCCTCTCCCGGCTTCCGCTGCCCGGCAGGCGGCATCTCCCGGCCCACCTGCATCCCCCGGCCCACCTGCATCCCTTCCCCCTTCCTGCATCCCCCGGCCCGGCCGCATCCCTTCCTCCAGCCTCCTGCTCCAGCCGGGCTGCATCCCTTCCGCCGGGCTGCATCCCATCGGCCCACCTGCACCCCTGGCGCCTGGCTGCATCCCGCCAGCCTGGCTGCATCCCTCTCCCTGGACTCCATCCCCTCGGCCCACCTGCATTCCTTGTGGCAGGCTGCATCCCACGGGCCTGCCTGCATCCCTTCCACCAGGCAGCATCCTCTCAGCCCACCTGCGTCCCTTCCACTGGGCTGCATCCCCTGGGCCTGGCTGAATCCCCTTCCCTGAGCTGCATCCCACCAAAATCGCTTCCAGCAGGCTCCAACTGTCCCAGCTGGCTGCATCCCCCTGACCCGCCTGCATCCCCCTGACCCACCTGCATCCCTTCTCCCCAGCCTGCACCTCCCTGACCCACCCACCCCCCAGCAGTCCCCCAGACCTGCTCCCTCCCCCCCTCCCCACTCCTGCTTCCAAGGGGACGAGGCTCCCCTTGGAGCACACTGAGCCCCCACTGGGGTGAATTTACGGTTCAGTAGGAGGATGGTGGGCTGGGATGGGCAGGGAAGAGCCAGGGATTCCCAGGGCTGAGTGGGATCCCTGCAGCTGGCACAGAGCGAGGAGAAGCGAGGCCATGACCCTGGGGAGACGCCAGCGGGGCTGTGCTGGTGCTGTGGGGGTGGCTGACGTGGAGCTGGGGCTGTGGGTGGGGGGATTTCAGAGCCTGATCCCGCTCAGGCCTTCCAGCTGGTCCTGCAGCCCCTCTGTGGGGCAGCTGCTGGCTCTGGACCATGGCTGGAACACCCTGTCCTGCTGCTTTTTGCTCCGAAGTTCCTGAGTGCTGTGGGAACAATTGGGGCATCACCACATCACTGCTGTGCCACTCGTGGGGAGAGCCCAGGTTTGGGGTGCAGCTCCCTGCTCTGCATTCCAACTTGTGCTCATCCTGCTGTCACCTCCCCTTGATCCAAGCCCTGTCTCATCCCAACCCTCTGTGTGAGGGGCTGGGAGCTGTTGGTCCTGGAGCAATCTCGGGAGAGGGGTGACAGTGGTTTTGGGGTATGCTGGTGACTTTTTGGGATGCAGGCAGGCTCCAAATCCCCAGGAGAACCTGCCAGGAGGTGCAGGACTCCAGGAGCTCATCCCACATGGAGTGATGGTCTCTCTGACGTCAGCGCTGAGGATTCCCTGTCTGTGTCCCATGGACATGGAGGGGAGCAGGGGAGCATGGTGGAACCATCCTGGTGGGATGCTCCTTCCCAGCATCCTGGTGCCACTGGGGCAGCTCAGCTGGGGCTGGATGAAGGGTTTGGAGGTTTTTGGGGGATGCCATCCTGGTGGGATGCTCCTTCCCAGCATCCTGGTGCCACTGGGGCAGCCCAGCTTGGGCTGGATGAAGGGTCTGGAGGTGGCCAGGGGGATGTTATCCTACAAATGCTCAAAGTGAAGCACCTCTCCAGCCCCTATGGATCACTCAGTGCCAGCCACAGGGAGCCCTGGCATTGCCATCACTGAAACACCCCCAAACTGGGAGCTTGGGCTGTTCCAGCCAAGGACATTCGCACTGCCACTCTCTGGTTGTTTTTTCACCTCAAACCCAGGGTGATTCCCACAAGGGGAGTGAATCCAGGGCCAGATTCCCGATGCCAACCCTGGACTGGCTCCTGCTGTTGTCCTGGGTTGCCACCAGCGTCAGCAGGAGCAGAGCTTGGCCCTGAGTCCCCAAGTCCCCGAGTCTCTGTGTCCCTGAGTCCCTGCTGCCACCACCTCGTCCCAAGGACGTGACACAGATTCCGAGGCCTCGCTCGGCACATCCTCCCTTCCCATGTGGTGGCAGCAGAGCCAGGCTGGGCAGTGCCATGGCACAGGGAGTGGTGACCTGGGACATGGCACTGGGAGGGCACTGGAGACAGTGCCCACCTCTGTGTCAGCAAGAGCCTGGAATAAAACAGGAGAATCCATGTTTTTTTTTGGTTAATCTTCATAGGCTAAACCTTGATTTTGCTGGATTAATAGAAGTTTTTCTCTTCGTTTTTTTTTTTTTTTTTTTTTTTAAACCACTTTAGGGTAGATGTGAGCTCCCATCCTCCTGCATCCTGACATGCAGTGCTTTTGTGATGGGTTCCAGGCTGCAGCCTGGTTCCAGTGGCAATCTTTGGAGCTGGGAGGATTTTTGGGTCTTGCTTGTGCCTTGGGACAGGTTCCAGTGAGAACCAAGGCAGCAGCTGGGATAAAACACCTGGAGTGGGAGATGGGGCAGCATCCAGAAGGAGCTGAGTGTTCATCCCTCAGTCCTGCCTGGGCTGGGGGGTTTTATCCCTGTCCAAGTGTGGCAGTTGGGCTTTATGGCTCTAACTTTGGGCCTGGGGTGTAAATATAGATCAGGGGTGCTGAGTTCGGTGGGATTTGGAAACAGCAGAAGGAAAATTTGCTCGGAGCTGGGCAATATTCCTGATTGTCCCACAGCATCATTCTGTCTGTGGGGTTAAACCCCATCCCAATGGCAAAATGTGGGTCAGGGCTCCCAGGAACTGGTGGATGGCTCCAAGGATAACCCCAGGATCAACACTTCCCTCTCCCAGGCTGCCGTGCTCCTGCCAGGAACAGGGAACTCTCCCAGGATATTTTTGGCTGCTGTGTGGTGAGGATGGGAAGAGGCTCTGAGGAAAGAGCTGTGGTCATTCCCACACCCCCACAGGCTGTGGAGATGCTGTTCCAGCACCGGGATTTGCCCTGGATCCCTGGAAATGTCCAAGGCCAGGTTGGACAGGGCTCGGAGCAGCCTGGGACAGTGGAAGGTGTCCCTGTCCATGGGGTGGAACTGGATGAGCTTTAGCTCCTTCCAACCCAAATCATTCCATGATTTTACGATTTTCACTGCCTGAACGTGTGGATTCTCTGATGTCTCATACCACATGCACTTCTCCCAGAGCTGGATCCTCCCAGGATGCTCAATGGAGACTTTTTGGCTCCTGTATTCCCAGCAAAATCCCCAGGGACCATTTAGCATGTCCCGAAACAAAGGATGCACAGAGCCAGAGACATCTCACAAGCCCAACAAGACCCTGGGAGAGACCTGGGAGGGAAAACAGAACCGTGTCAGGGAATTCCCCAGCCCCAGGCTGCTCCAGGTGCTTCTGGAATAATGAGCCCCTTGGTGGGAGCCGGGGGAGAGTCGTGTTTCTTGTCATGGAAAAGGATATTTAGGGGTGCAGGAGAACCTCTCACCTCGCGGCATGCAGGCATCCCACATGGATGTGCTGATCCAGCCGGGATGGGATGGGATGGGATGGGATGGGATGGGCATTCCCGCCGGCTCACCGGCTGCCAGATGAATGAACTTCCCCCTCCTGGATTTTCCGCCGCCCATCCCGGTCTCCAGGCAGGGCCGGTGCCGTCGCCAGCCCGGCTGACGTCAAGGATCCCATTCCAGGGGGGAACAGCCGCCCTCTCGCTCCTTGGAGACCGGCTCGGAGCCTGCCGGGGCTGGGGGGAGCAGCCGCGCTGGGTTTGGGATGAGCCGAGGGAAATTCCTGCTCGGGGTGATGGGAAGGGTTGGGATTCGGAAATCCGGCTCCAGCCCTGGGTGATCCCAGCCCCTCGCCTTGCTGGGGTCACCCGAGGTCCTGTGGAGTGACGTGGAGTGGAACATCGCTCCCGTGCCAGCACCCGCCCCCGGGGCAGCACGGACGTTGTTTTCCAAGGAGCTGGGGGGTTCCAGGAGCTGCCGGCTCCTCCAAAGGGAAGGGAAGGGAATCCCCGCGGTTTCACTCCTTCGTGCACGAGCATCGCTCCTGCCTTTCCCCCGGGCAGAGCTGGAACAGGCAGGGGAGCTGGAAAGGTGGGAAAAACACCCCCAGCTCCACAGGAAAAGGTTCGGATCTCCTCCAGCAGCATCCCCAGCTGGACCAGCAGCAAATTCCGACAGCAGGAAGAGGGGGAATCCGCGGGATTCCCACCCGCCTCCTTGTGCCCCCTGCCCGCTGCCAGGTGGGAAAAACTGAGGCACAGAGGAGCAGGGGGAGGTTGTGCCATAGCAGGAACGCAGCATTTCCCACATTTTCTCCATCCCGGGATGAGCGGGGGGCAGAGCAGCTCCGGGATGCGGCTTTTCCTGCGGGATGGGATCGTCTCCGACCCTCCCCTTTCCAGCCCCAGCAAAACAACGAAGGCTTCTGGATTTTACAGAGGGGTTTTGGGGCTTCTTTTTCCCTGGCTAGAGCAAATCCATGGACCAGAGCATCTGGGGGTCCAACTGGGGCGCTCTTTAGGGTTAAAAATGACCCCTCCTGTCACTCAAAGGCTCTGTAGGGCTGAGTTTCCCTCGCTTGGCAATTGAATTTCCTCAGTTTTCCCCACTCTTTCCCCATTCCCAGGTCACTTCTGCATGATGATGGTGGGGGCTGTCCTGTCCCCAGCTCCTTTCCCACCCCAGGACCCTGATTTTGGCACTGGTGATGCCGGGGTGGCTCAGAAATCACCTTTCTTCCTTTTGGGATCCCACATGGAGAGGCAGAATGGGGAACAGGCTGGGGGCAGCATGTGGATTTTTTAGGAATTTCTGTTCCTGGTGTTTTGCTGCCGTCGTGTACATCCAAGGGCATTTTTTGGGAGACAGGAACTGCCTCTGGGCTGATCCTTACACCTTAGATTGTCTGTTTCGGGAGAGCTTTTCCTTAAAAATCATCCCTGGAAGTGGGGCAGGGCTCTGTAGAGCTGAGAGCTCCTTGCAGCCCCCCAGATCCGGCTTTGCTATTCCTGCCTCATTTTGGGGGGTTAATTTTCAGGAATTAATCTCTGGTAGCCAGGGTGAGGATGGAGAGAAGTTGCTGGGGGGGGGGACAACCCTGTCCCCAGCTCCTGGCAGGGCCATCACCCAGCTGGGGGGTGATTTTGGGGATTTTGGGGGTGATGCCAACCCCTGTGGGCATCACCAGCGGGCATCACGAGGTAAAGAAACGGGAGAGATGAGAAAATTCCCAAATCCCACAGTGGGGTTCTCCCCTCATGTGTGTATCCCAAACCATGCCGTGTTTTACCCGTCTATTTTTGGGGTGTGCGGGAGCAGAGGCACAGCACCATCTAGTGCTGCCGGCGCCGGGGAATCACCCAGCTGGAAAAGCAGGAGCAGGAAATCCCAGCAGCTCCCCAGCCCTGCTCTATATTCCCGGGAAAGGAGGGCAGGCGCTCAGCAGCTTTATTTTGGGAGCTGCCGGGCTGCGGCTGAGAACGGCTTCAGCCTCGGGGTGGGAGGATTTGGGGGATTTGGGGGATGATCCCAGCAGGGATGGGGCCACAAGGGAGCAGAGAGAGGGGGAGATGGCTCTGGAGAGAGGAAGATTTGGGTTGGTGAGGAAGGAATGAGGAGAAAATGCCACGTGCCAGCCTCGGGATGTGATGATGTGGTCCCCTTGTAGGGTTTTTGTGGGGAGTAAAAGAGGGGAGTGTGGCTTTTGAGGGATGTTTGGCATCAAACCTGGGTGTAAGAGAGGGGACTGTGTTCTTTAGGGATCCCTTGGAAGTAAAAGTGGGATAAGTGTCCTGTGGGTGGCTGGACAGCACTGGGATGGGGCAGTGTTTGTGGAAAAAGTGGTGCCTGTCCCCCCTGTCGCCCCTGTCCCCACCCTGGGGACCTGCCAGGGGCTGTCCACCCCCTGAACGAGACCCCATTGCTGGGCTGGGGATGAAGAGCTGATAAAGGAATTTTTTGGGAAGGAAATTCCCTCTTAGACCTCGATGCTGATGGCTGCAGGAGCGTTTTGGGGAAAAATTTTGAACCTTGGGATGGGGGCAGAGTGAGAGCTGAGCCCCAGCTGCCCGTTGGGAATTCCATGAGGGTTTTCTCTTTTTTTCTTTTTTTTCCCAGAGCAAACTGGTGAAGTATTTCAGCAGGCAGCTGTCCTGCAAGAGGAAGGTGGCCCTGCAGGAGCGCAATGCCAAACTGGAGGGCTTCCCGCAGCTCCTGCACTGGTTCCGCATCGTCGACATCCGTAAGGAGGTGATGGAGGTAAGGGCTGGCCACTCCCACCGGGGAAAGGAAGGGGCTTGACCTCAGCCACCAGCCAGGACACCCTGCTGCTGTTCCCAGTAGGTGTCACCTCTGCAGTGGGGACATCCCCCATGTCCCCATCAGTGTCCTCCTGCCACATCCTGGGCTCTTGCAGCTCATGGGTGCAGCGGGGGGGTGACACCCAAAGGCAATCCCACCTCCAGGGAAAAGGGAATTCTGTAATGCAGCTCACGGTCCTGCATGTTGCCAGTCAGGGATGGGTTTTCCTGGTGCTCCCAGATGTTGAACTGGGTCTGGATTTACCTAAACCTGTAGAAGAACTGGAGATAAAACTTAAATCCCTTCAGGTTTTCTTGGCGATTCAGGTGGGAAATAGATGGTTTGGGTCCATGACCTAATTGGAGTCTCAGTGGTGTTCCCTGAGGTTTAGAGGATGCTCCAGGGTGGTTTATTCTTCCTTCCTCATTCCTGACCTGTTCCTCCCTCAGGAAATCGCCCCTGGGCAGCTCAGCCTGGAGGATCTGCTGGACATGACCGATGACCAGGTCTGTGCCACCGTGGAGAAGTTTGGGGCCAACAGCGAGGAGTGTGCCCGGCTGAACGCGTCCCTGTCCTGCCTCCGCAGCGTCCACAAGTCCGGTGAGTGACCCCTGTCCCTCTGTCCCTCTGTCCCTCTGTCCCTCTGTCCCTCTGTCCCTCTGTCCCTCTGTCCCTCTGTCCCCTGGGCTGGGTGGCACTGTCCTGTTGTAGTGGCTTTAATGAAGGTGTTGGCCGAGCTCCTGCAGCCCTGGGGCTGCCTGGGAACTCCTTTCCTGCTGGGAACATCTTGGAGCTGCACTGGGGGTGGCCCTGGGAAAAGAATTTGGGAGTGTTGGTGGGTGAGAGCTGGGACCCCAAACCCCACTGCCCTGGGCTGATCCCCCAGTGTGGGCAGCAGGAAAGGAGGGGGGGATTCTGCCCCTCTGCCCTGCCCAGGTGAGACCCCACCTGCAGAGCTGCCCCCGGCCCTGGGGTCCCCAAATTGAGAAGGACCTGGAGCTGCTGGAGTGAGACCAGAGGAGGAGATGCTCCCAGGGCTGGAGCCCCTCTGCTCTGGAGCCAGGCTGGGAGAGCTGGGGGTGCTCACCTGGA